GCTTGCCGTTTCTGCTTCTTCACAAGGCTTACGTAAAATATTCAGGGAGAAACACTCTCCACTTTTAGTGATTATTACCCATTTAAAAATGAAAGCGTATTCCCCTGCACCTTATTTAAAATATTTACAACTTCGTTCGTTCAGTTCTATGCAATGATCTTTTAGAGATCTATGTGACGATCTGTGACAGATCTAATCTAGCAAATGACGGGAAAAAATGACGGGTTCTTATACAGAATCCTTTAATTCGTGCAAAAAAAATGTAAAACCGCTCACCTGACGTTTAATTTTTTTTTACAATTCATCGTATTAGTAGTCAGTGACGAATAAATATAAAGTAGCAGAAGGTAAATAGTACAAGAGAGTAGACGATAGTAGTAAATGAAGACGATACAATAATAGTAAACGAAGACGTGGACGATAGGACTAAACGAATACAATACTATAGTAGTAAACGACTTATTATTACAGGTATTCCTCTTCTTCAGATTGAATATTTAAAGAAGAGTGCCAGGGTCGCCAAGTTAGCAAACGAAAAATGAATGTGTGGATAACGACGTAGTTTAAAAATTTTTATTCTTTTAAAACAAGTGAAAACAAAAAAATATGATAGAGGAACGACGGTGGACGACAATGATGATGATATCATCCTTTATCGACTGAAAATGACTATATATATATGTATATGACAAAAAGAAAAAGACGTCTACGGAAGTCTATAGAAAATGTGTGTGTGTACAGAGAGGACGAACGAGAAAAACGAGAAGAAACCGTGAGTGTTAGAGCCATGCTCTAACGTTGTCGCACGTAAATTATAAAATGCCGTTTCAATTTCCTAAGGTGGTAACAGTGCCAGGGCCATTAATTTATGGCAACCACTTCGAATTTCTTCATCTTGTGAATAAGCTGAACCTAAACCCGATGTTTGAATTCGACGATAGATGCTTTGATTATAATGAAAGAAGCACCCTCGATGCTTCGTTTCAGGAAACTAAAATAAAAAAGATGCATTCTTTACAAAAATAATTAGTAGATTACGTCAGCAGCTACTGCTGGAATTAAACCAGTTTCAAAATCACTAATAATTATTTCGGGTTTAAATAGTCGGTCCATAGCTGCAGTAACATTTTTTTAATTCACAAAATAAGTGTTGATAAGTTACTTTTTTACGATCAGGTAGAAGACCGAATACGCAGGGAAAACCTACCAAGAGGAATAAGAAATCGAATCTTTATTATAAAGAACATGTAAATTGTATTATTGTATCCGAACTTCAAACCATGTAATGTAAATACTTGACTAAAAAATGGTGGTGTCGCAGAAAATGTCCCGTCCAACAAAACAGTTGAACTGTCAAATAATACTTGAAGTTGTTTAGTGCTGCCAAAAAGTAACATTCTTTCTCTACGACGAACCAGTGAATCGGAGAATAAGAGTTTTTCACCTGTTGATGTACTTTGATAACAATCTGGAATATCAAACGCAAAAGAAGTAGTCAGAGTAGGTGTTAATTTACATCGGGCGTAACACAACCCCGGTTCTAGAATACAAACATGTTTAAGAAGTGTGATATGCTTGTAAAAATATAGACTCACGTATTTCATGAGCAAGTGGAGGACTTGCAAGAACATCTGATGATAAATTAGTTTTCCTAATTTCTTCATCATATATTTTTGATATTGGAGATGTGTCGTTGATAACACGTTCCTTGAGACCTTGTCGAAATTGTTTGATTTCAAGATCTTCTGAATCTAATAAATGATTATGTTCACGACTTGAAACCAAGAAATTGTTGTTAAGATCAGTATGTTCATGTGCTTTACAGCTCTTAGTTTTACATATCCAATATACTTTGGAGGATGTTTTTTTGTTCATTTTGTAAATGAAGCCATGGAACACCAACAGACGGTTACCTTCGTTCGAAATAAGAAAAGAAATATTGTTCGTGTTAGTGCTTGCCATCGTGCAGAAGAATGAAATGGTGAAAGT